ATCTTTAAAAATGGCAATAGTTCACCAGATGCGAGGTAATTTCTTGATTATGTATCTAAAGATAGAGCATTTTCGAATGCAGCCTTAATTCTTATCATAATAAACACTATTGACTATTGGTGAGAATGATATGAAACCTTGAAAAGGCACAACTCTAGGTCAAGACCTTTCTAATGATACCAAACTCAACCATATAAACCCATTTTATCATATAAATGCACTGGCCACGAAATTTTTTTTATTCTCTTAATAATATAGATTATTCTTATTATGATAATTATTATTGCTATTTTAAGGGAGGGGTCTGGGTTTCCGCGTAAAAAAAAACACTTTTTTTGTGATTTTTTATCTCAAATATCGATTGAGCAATTTTATTCAAACCTTCTATACATTATTGAGCATAGTTTTGACTATGTTCTATAAATTTTTCATGCAAAAATATTAAACCATTAGCCCGTGACAGAGCTTTCCCCAGGACGTCTTGAAAAGAAAACAATTTGCGGTGTTCACTGTAACTCGGCTGGAAATTATCTGAAAATGAAAAACCATAAAAATTTAGTTAAATTATAAACAAATCTTCCCCCCAACGTTCTCTAATTATTTTTTTTTTAATTTAAAAATTTTTGGCGGTCATCTAAAGTGTGAACCGTTATTTTCGACTAAAATTTTTGCCATTTTGTGGGTGGGAAACACCCTTAATGTTAAAAAAAAATTTTTTACTAAACGTAGGGTGGAGGTATTTTACATGAAAAAAATTATTACGAAATTTGAAATGAATCGGTCGAGTAGTTTTCAAATGGCAGTGATCACGGTCTTCGAAAAAGTAGTTTTGAGAAAAACGCGTTTAAAATTTGTGAAGCAAAATAGTGAAGAAAAAAAATTATTTTTTAAACTTACACAGAATCATCAATTCCAGCTCTATACAGCACACATCCTTCAGCATTGTCGATGTCTTCAGCCTGTTTTTTTTCAAGTCTTCGTTTTATTCTGGCTTCTTTGCTCTGCTGCACAGCTTGGAACTCGGCCCTATCAATGCGATTGCTGTCCGTAGATGATACATACTCGTGAGCGCTTGGGCCGACACTGACGTCCATGTCAGACAGAAAAGTTAGAAGAGCACCAGCACCTTCATTGAATGTGCATGCAGCTACATAAGATGCAAATTTCACAATTTGTCTGCTGCCAGATAATTTTTTCGGTGCAATTCTCCAAATCAGCTGGTTCAAACTTTCGTTGGCATTTTGAGTAAAACCTCCAAGACACCTTTCTAGAAGTTTGTCTTTACTCAAATCTTCATAAATCGGTTTGATCGCTTCTATGACTTCTTGTGGAAGTGGAGTGTAGTCATGATTAAAATTTTCCACTCCTGTTGTGGCCAAAGCTTTTTGATACGAACACCACGAGTTCTCACTGCTCATGCACTTATGGTGTTGAGGATAATCGTCTGTTGACTGCTGGTGGTAGAACGTTGCCCAGACTGCATTTTTCATTCCTTCTAAAGAATCACAATTATGTCTGATTGCTGCTCCGTAGTATCGACTCAAATTATCAATGACTTTTCCAGTGAGCTTTCCTTTGCCACCGAGTAATTTAATTTGTCTTGTTTTACCAGCATTTTTTCCGGTTTTTACAACTGTTTGTTCAACAGTTCTATTTACTAGATCACGCAGACGTTTACCCATTCTTTTTTGCACGTGACCTACACATTCTTTTTTATTTATAATAAAATTTTCACCATAAGGTTTAGCTTTTACTAAATTGCCGTAAGTTTTACTATCTCCGTCTCCAACATAGTTGCTGATTTTCGCTCCGTATTTTTCTTCTGATCGGCGAAACATTTCGATGACAGCATTTACTTCCATGTTACCTGATGGTCCGGTGTGATTAGCTTGGCATTCATCTTCTCCAACATGTTCTTCGTACCAATCTTTAAATTCATCAGTATTTAATTGATTTCTCCATAATTTGCAAGCCTGGCAGTGCGAACTACTTACGAAAATATCTATAGCTTTTCCAGACCAATATCCAATCAAGGAAGTGACGCCAAAGGAAGAGCTAAAGCCTTGCTTCTGCCACGTGCCGTCACCAGAAACGGTCAAAGTATCTGACTCCGAATTTGCACGTGTTAGCTGTTTTTCTTCGTCTGCGGCGGAGACAAGAAATTTCTAAGCAGTCGTTTCGATGCTGCAGCAAATAGATTTCATGAGATCCAAATAAGATTGTTTTGATAGAAAACTACTTGCTATGTCCATGAGCCCGCAAAAATTATTGCAGCCTGCTAAACCTAAACCTAATGTACGCATTACAAAGGCAAAACAAGTGTTGATTTCATAGCGATGACCAGTTTTCTCACTCGACGGTATAAAGCGTGGATCACAATTTGTACATTTGACTTGGATTTGGAAGCCAAGTCCTTCTTTTTTACAGCTCTTGAACTCGATTGAACCATCACACTGAGCACATTTTACTAAACTTGCGATGGTTGAAAACACAAGCAAAAAATCTATGATTCTAAAATGTTTTTCAACATCTTCCGGTACACTAGTACTCGTATTTAGTTTTATTTTCTTCGCCGAAGCACTTCTGGTGGTAGCCTCATCTTTTATTTTTTTTTTTTCGGGTTTGGTCTTTTTTTTGATCGACACAAATAGGTCCTTCCACTTTGACGGTCTTCTCGTGAAATTTTACTTACTCTCAGCATTATTGCTCAGGAAATTTTTTGAAAAAATAAAATTACAAGTGCACGGTCGAACGTCTGATCACTATACTAACTGAAGCTCGTTTCTTTTTTCAAAATAATGTAGTGTATAGTATACATACAAATATAAAATATATCTATATGGTTTTAGTTACCTGGCTTTACTAAATGAAATATTTCGAAAACTGGATATGGGATCAGGACAATAGCAATAAATAACCTGTATACCTGCTCGACAGCTGCACTGCAATCCCTACCGCCCGTAGCTGTTAGAGTTAGAGCGTTAAAGGCCCTGGGACTAATTAAACAATAACTTCAAGAATATTGCTTAGATCGGATTAAAATTTTGAGGACATATTCTTGAAATGTTAAACAATAAGATAAAACATAAAAAAAAAAATCGATTTTTCGAAATTGAAAACCCTTACCCCGCCCTTAACTATCAGTGAGAATGAAATGAAACCTTAAAAAAGCACAACTCCAGGTCAAGACCTGTCTAATGATATCAAATCTAACTAATTTTATCAAATCTAATCTAATTTTCTTAATAATATAGATGAAATTTTAAAGTTGAAGAAGAAATTTGTTTTATTTAAAATTCTAAGACTATCAAAATATTCTTTTTTGATAATTTTTATATTTTTATAATGAATTTCTAATAATAATAAATAATTAAAAAATGTTAAATTTTTAAGATTAAAATAATTCAATACTTTGAGATTTAAAATTAAATTCAAACAAAATGATTAATAAATTAAACTATTTTAAATAATATTGAAATGAAGCGATCACAAAAATAAACAATTACCAATAATTTATATTTATAAATCTGCGTATTGATGAAGAAAATACTAGAATCTATTCCATTAATAACAAACCAAATTCATCGACTAAAAATAGACAACATTAATATATAAACACAAACAAATACGTTATTTATAAAATTTACTTTTTTTTTTTCTATTTAAATAACCACAAATGTAGTTCATAAAAAATTGACCTTTCAAAAATTATCAAAAGCAGATTATAAAAATAAGAAATTTTAAAAATAACCAACTGCAAAAAATAAAAAATGTTTTTTCTTCTCCAAAATAAAAAATAGGTCGGTTAATTCAAAGCCAATTTATCTTGAGTGCAAAAAAAAAAGTGTATTGCTTACATGCTGAAGCATCCATGGCTCCACGATCACAGATAATAAGGCAATTTCTATTGCAGCTTTCACCCAATGAGAAAAATGTATTCTCAATTTGGATCATCGTCTTCAAAAGATTTTCTTGAAACTTCAAGCCTAAAGAAAAAAAAAAAAAAAAAACAATTTATTAGCTTTTGAAATATAATTTTTATTATTTTATTTTAAATAAATTTAATACTTGATAAAATAATTTTCAACCTTGTAATTATTTAATAAAATAAAATAAATGATTACAGTGCCAGTGAAAAAAAAATCTAACAAGTACATGATAAAAATGAAATGACGTCAAGCTTTACGTTTGTTTATTTTTTAGATAAAGAGATCTGTAATAAGCTACTTAAGATTTTTAGCAGGCCAACATCCAACATTGTTGAACTTTATAATTATTACTGCGGTAATTAGCTATAAGTATAATTATTATGATTATGATCATTATAGTAAATAAAATATTTTAGCGAGAATATGACGATCTACGAGTGGTTACACTTGCAACTCACTCACCCTCGTAAAACCCGACCTTGAGAATCTCTGACCACTTAAGTTTTTTTTTCTCCTCATCATAACTCGTGCTCCAATTTTTGGTGAGTTTGTTATCTAGCTGGGCTACGAATGGACGCTCAATCACCGTTTGGCTTTTTTGTTTTCTCCAATTCCACTTGTCTCTCTTTCCACTCAAATCTCGATCAAAAAATAAATTAATAAATATAAAATATTCAATCTAGTTAAAATTTAATAGCTAGAAGCTGTAAGTTGTTAATAAAATAAAAATATAAGCGTTGGGGATGATAGACGGTGACCTTGAACGGGTTTTAAGGTGTTACGTGAGCTTGCAAGCTGACGTGGTCCAGAAATACTGTTATCGATTCTCCACCCCAGGATTCCTCTCGCTTCTTTCTACGGTATCCAGTTCTAGTCCCTTAACAACTTGCGTACACGTGTCTCCGCAACGCAACTCACGTCCCAGATTGACCTTATTATTCATCCAACTGCGTAATCTTACTTTTTTCATTAGAAATTTTTTTGCTAATTAAATATATCTTTTTTTTTTAAAGAAAAGTTACTTAGATTGCTTTAAATATTCGGTAATTATTTTTTGATGTGTAATTAATGGTCTATGACCTTTTTTTTATAGTAAGAATAATACTGACGAAACGTTTAGCATTGTTTAATAAAAAGTAAAAACATACGATTGTTTTGGTCTTTAAATTATGAATTTTATCATCATTAAAGGAAATTATACCTAACATTAGTTATGGATTTTTATCAATCTTTAGTCATTACAATTATCATGAAGGTCGAATTGTCTATTGAGTTTTGAATGATAATGAAAATTTTTAATCTAAAAATTAAAAATTATTTAGACTTTGTTATTTTTTTTTATGATTGCAATATTTAATAATTCAATAAAGTTGCAAAAAATTAAATCTTGATTCTTTAATAGTGTAATAAATTATTTTTAATTAATAAGTCAAATGTTGGATATTACAGATCATAAGAATCATGAAAATCGATCGAACCTACAGAATATGTTTTGATAATTATTTACAAGAGGGGTCCATTCTATTTTTGATCATATCTAGGTAAAAAATTAACATTTTTTAATTTCTTTTTATTCTGCTTGCTTTTACGGTGCATTTATGATAAAAAATGTCATGAAGGGAAAAAAAAAAAAAGATTTCGATAGCTTTTTTGCGTTTAAAAGTTGGAAAAAATTTTGGCTCTCATGTTTTTGAATAAAATTTCTATTTTATCTTTTTTTGATGTTTGTGATATTTATTTTTTTGAAAAGTACATAAAAAAACGAACAATTAAAAAAAAAAGTTGAATATCACAATTTTCTAAAAAATTTATAAATTTTTTTGAAAATTTGTTAAAATTTTGATAATCAACTTTTTTATTTAAATTGTTCATTTTTTTTTATGTATTTTTCAAAGAAAAATATATCAATAAAATCAAATAGAAATTTCGTTACAAAAAAATGAAAGTTAAAATGGTGGATCCCACTTGTAAATAATTACCAAATATTCAAGACTTTTTTATTATAAATTTATTTTTAAGACTTATTGTCCGATAAAAAAATTTATCCATAAAACTTGTGCAGTTTTATCAATTAATTTCAGTTATTAAAATTTTTATCAAGAAATTCATCAACTGTCAGCAAAATCATGATCATGGTCATGATATTTTTACCCTCCGTTTCTGACCTATATTCTGTACCGACCTTCGGGTAACCATCTCATAAAGATGAAATTTATTATACCATCAATATTGATGTTTGACCGCTTTTCTTTATTTTTCATTAATATAACCATGGAAACCCTTGTTAATTATCGTCCGCTTTAATCTGAAGATACAATGGGGGACGTATTTATTTAATTACTTAAGCAAAGTTTTAGTATCACGCCTTGCAATCAACAGACAAAATTTTTGTAATCATAAAAATATTAATAAATTTATAATAAAGAAAGTATAATAATATTGCGTCTATTTTATGAATATTCATTTTTTTCGGTTAAATTAAATCATTTAGAAAAAATGTTTATTTTTATAGAATAGAATTCCTTACCAGATAAATAAATAAATAAATAAAATTTATAATTAAAATAAATTTTTACTAATAATAAATAGAAAAAATGTTCATGCTTTGTTTAAATTTTCTAAAGAGATCGTAAACTCTAAATTTATAAATCATTTAAAGATTTAATGATACCTAATATATAAATATAACAAAAATCTAATTCATTACATGTAAAGTAAACAAATATGTGGGAAGAAATAAAGATCTTTAGAAAAGTATTTATGGCTATTTTCAAATCATTTTTATAAAAAAAACTCAAATTCTTTCAAATTTTAAAATTTATAAATTTAATTTTCTTTTTAATCAAAATTTTTTTAAAGTAAAAAAAAAATTTTGAAACTCAAAATTTACTCCTGATTGGTAACTATAAACCTAATTCGCCATTTTGAATCATCGTCCTCACTTCAAAATTTAATTACCTAATTATATTTCACTTTCAATTAATAATAACAGTTAGTATTTTGTTTTTAAATCTTTAAATTGGCAAAATTATAACAACTTCTTTTTTTTAGCTATAATTGTAATTGTTACTTTATTAATCAATATGTTTTTAATACGGTTAAATTTTAATTCTTGACAAGTGAGATGGCGCTTTTAAAAATTTCTCGGAGACTATTTTTAAATTTCGCCTTCTAATTTTTTAATGCAACTTTGAATTAATAAATAAAACTAAAAGAATATTTCAAGCGTAGTTACAATTTTGAAAAACTAAAATTTTTAGAAAATAACTTACAGTCGTACTTTAACAATCAAACAATATTTGATAGATATATTTTATTAGCTATCTTGAAATCAAATAACACAAAATTTCCAAGTGTTTATTTTCAATAAGTCTGTAACTCAGTAAAATTTAAATTGCATTGGCTGTTCGTCAAATAGTTATCTAATTTTTTTTTCATCATGTGTATTTTAATACGTTCGACATTTTAATATCCGAAAGGTCACGGTCATTTTATGAATACCTGTATACATGTCAATCAAATGTCTGAATATATTAGATTATAAATAACAATGATTGAAAGTATTCTTCACGTAAGTATTTAAAAAATTCATTATTTTTTTAAATATTTGTAAACAAATATTTTTAAAACCTTGTCTTTCATTGTAGGGCCTGATGAAATCTACATCGACGAAATAAAAGGTTAGAAAAACTTTGACAAGTGTTTCCCGTTCTACTGTAAAAATTAATGACACTGAAATTAGCAGACACTTGACAAATTTTGTTCATTTTTTTTTTTTAAATAAACTAGGCTTAAAAATTAATTTTTAAAAAATTGCATTTATAATTTTTTTAGAGCTTCTGAAGATGAAATTTTTTAAATAAATTTTTTTTGATATAAATCAATTGTTAAAAAAATTCCAAAAAATATCAGATGTCTTTCAATTTCAGTATCATAAATTAATGACACTCAAATTAGCACACACTTGACAATTTTTTTATTTTTCTTTAAAAATAAACTATGATACTAAAATTGAGAGACATCTGATAACTTTTTTAACAATTGATTTATATCAAGAAAAATTTATTTTAAAAATTTCATCTTCACAAACTCTAAAAAATTATAATTGCAATTTCCTAAACCTAGTTTATTTATGACACTGAAATTAGCAGACAATTGACAATTTTTTTATTTTTTCAATTGAAAATAAACTAGGTTTAAAAAATTATTGTTAAAAAATTGCATTTATAATTTTTTAGAGCTTCTGAAGATGAAATTTTTTTAAATAAATTTTTTTTTATATAAATCAATTGTTAGAAAAATTCTAAAAATTATTAAATGTCTCTAAATTTCAGTATCATTAAAAATATAAAAATACTTTTCATATTTTTGAAATGACTTATACCAAAGAAAAACAATTTAGCAGGATAATTTAACAGTCGATTAATAATCCTGGCATTATCCGTTCATGTAAGTAGAATAACATCTGTTTTAATTACTATATATCAGCAGGTACGATAACTACTAGGTGCAATGTTACTTGAGAACCTATACAAAATCGCTAGGAGCTGGGTGTCACCCAAATTAAAAACTTGGGTAACAATTGGTGTCATTGAAATCTGGCACACTTCTGCGACATTTTATAAATCAAATACCGGCATTAGTCACAAGTCATTTACTTGACTAATATTCGCAGCTATTATATTAAAGTCTTTCTAAACAATGGTCACCAGAAAGCTAAGTAAAGTAAACAATGAAATAAACTTAATTATACTTTTTTAATAATTCAATACTTTTTTTTTCTTTTTTTCAAAGAAGCCACTAATGTTCATTAATTGTATGAAGCCTCAGTGCAAGGGCGAGGATTTGTAACAGCATTAGTTACTAATATAAAAAACACGTGTTTTTTTTTTTTTATTAATGTTGTCGTTAAGTATACTAGTAAATAACTCCAGGAAATTTTTAATTGCATTCAAACCTAAAATACTTCCGGTAATAAACTAACCCATTGACGTAAGAGAATTATTTATCTAAGAAAATGCAATCTCATAGTTGATAGTGTTGTTAAACTATTAAACTTGCTGGTAAGTATATTTAACAAAGCAATGCAATGAATTATTAGTCTCAAGTGTCCGTCGTGGAAGATCTTGAGACCAGTCTCCTCGTCATAGTTTATAACTTAAAACTTTGGCTACTTGCCATCATAAACTTTTGCGTAATCCATTCTAGATCACATTCACTTTTTTCATTTTTATTTTAATATTTTACTATTATTTTCTACTCAATTTTTATATTTCATCAATATAATTCAATTATCAGTTGATATTTTATCTAGTGTAAACAAATAACTCGTTAATACCTTTAACAATTGTATTAAAATTGTTTATTTTCAATTGATGAATAAATTAAAATATTTAAAATAAATACATGTTCATTTTTTGTCCAAAGATTAAATTGAGATTGTGATCAATGATAGCCAGTTAGTATCGTCTTTAAATGTATTAATATTGATGTCAAAATATGTATATATATTTATAGAAATATCTTTTTAAGGAGACATTTATTTCTGGCAACGACTCAATGACTTTTATATACAACCATTATTGACGTAAATTTTCTTTTTTCTCTTTTATCATTCTTGTGCTTGTTATAATTTTGTCTTCTTTCATCAGTTTTTATTTTTTCATACGGTTTTGGTGACTGATCATTTTATTTCAGGATAATAATCTCAGAACGACTTTCAACTTATTTTTAGATAGAGAGTTGATTTTTTTCTAGGACTTTTCTTTTAATAGCTTGACTAGAAATAAAATATTATTAAATATAAATAACTTTTCAAATTATTTGAAAAAATTTATCAAAAATTTTCTACAGACTTTGTAAAACGAAAATTTCAGTATAAATAATTAAAATATTTATGATACTGAAATTAAGAGACATGTGAAAATTTTTAGAATTTTTGTAACAAATTATGATAAAAAAAATTCATTAAAAAAATTTTATCATTAAAAACTCTAAAAAATAATAAATGTAATTTTTTAAAAACAATTTTCTAGACCTAGTTTATATTTAAGGGTTAAGACAAATTAAAATTTGTCAAGTATTTCAAGTATTTACTAGTTTCAGTGCCATAAAAATTTGAATAAAATGAGCAGACATGTAATTTTTTGAAAAATTTGAACTTGAGAATTGTAAAAAAATAAATATAAAAAATTACTAAAAATAAATATAAATTTTACAAATTTTCAAAAAAATTTATAAATTTTTTAGAAAATTGTGATATCCAACATTTTTTTTAATTGTTCGTTTTTTTATGCACTTTTCAAAAAAAATATAGACTAAAAACATCAAAAAAAGATAAAATAGAAATTTTATCCAAAAACATGAGCTAAAATTTTTTCCAACTATTGAAGGCAAAAAAGCTATCGAAATCTTTGTTATTTTTTCTTTCACATTTTTCATCATAAATGCGCCGTAACAGCAAAGTATCAAAAAAAAAAAAATTTGAAAATGTCAATTTTTCACCTAGTTATGGCCCAAAATGGGGTTGACTCCACTTGTAAATAATTACTAGATTTTTTTTGTAATAGGAAAATTATTTATAAATTTATCGTTTTCTTAAAAAAAAAAAATTTACACACTACTAATTTTTAAAAAATTCTAAAGAATCAAAAATAAAAATATATTAATAATAGTTTTTTTTGCAAGGAACCGAAAATTTTAATTCTGAAAATTTTTTACTCAAGATGTAAGGCTTATTAAAATCCAAAAAAATTTAGAGAGATCTAATAATACTAATTTTACTATTATTAATTTATTTACACAAATAAAATTGAAGTGACGTAGAAGAATTAGCAACGCAGAGGTTCTCTTGAAAGTCATACGGCTATTTATTGTAAGTTAGGGTCGTACGTACTTAAAAAGATAATTTTGAGTGCATGACCTGCATTAATGCATTACATCACGTGGCTCAATAAAAATATATTTATTCATATATCATGTGTCATTTATATTAGTGACTTTTATTGTCAATGCTTTTATTAATCGTCATAATCATTATTAAGTCTAGATTTCGTCGGTTTAATTTGTGCTTCAGCCTTGTGTCATTTATAAAATCTCATATTTTCTGCACCGTTATCATTTTACACAGTGTTTCAATCAAAACATTGTCAAACATAGTCTCAAGTAGCTCCCAGATATTCTAGACAGCATGAAAAAAGATCAAATCGAGGTATTCACAGTTGTGAAAAGCCTGAGGCCAGCAATTTTGCGTCAAGTTAAATATCCATACCGGCTTTTCATCCTTCTCGCTTTATATCTTCAGCTTTTTTCCTTTACTTTGTATCTCGTGTTTCTTTATCTTTGTTCATTATTCATGATTCATGATTCTCCAAATTGAAATGTCTCGACAGCACATTGTAATATCCCATACAGTTTTAATATCCCTGATAAGATGTATGAATTTATTATCATTTTTTTTTAACTAGAATTGTTTTTACTTAAGTAGCTTTCGCAAGAAATTTTAATTTTATACAAGAAAAACCCGCATTAAAACTCACACATAACCGTCCGAAACTAGATTTATTTGCATATATCTTGACATAAATTTCTTCACGGGAATTCCTACGACCGAGTTTATTTTTTTTTTTCTTTGATATTACATTAAGAAATTAAAAAGAAGCTTTTCATTTAAAAAAATTAAGAACCCAGAATTTCTTATATTTTTAATTTAGAAAAGTTTCTTGCAATAAAAAAATCATTTATGAGAAAATCTTCTTAATAATAATAATTATTCTTACTCAAGTAGACTTGTGCGAGAATCGAACCTGAGTTTTCAGCGTCAATTATGCGATCTTAACGTTTTTTTTTTTTTAAATTTTTAAATTATTTACAAATGGGGTCCACCCTATTTTTGGCCAAATCTAAGTGAAAAATAAAAATTTTTTATTTTTCTTTTATTCTGCTTATTTTTACGACACATTTATGGTAAAAAATGTCGTGAAAAAAAAAAATAAAGATTTCAATAGCTTTTTTGCTTTCAAAAGCTGAAAAAAATTTTGGCTCTCATGTTTTTGGATAAAATTTCTATTTTATCTTTGTTTGATGTTTTTAATATATTTTTTTTGGAAAAGTACATAAAAAAAAAGAAACGAACAATTAAAAAAAAAAGTTGAACATCACAATTTTCTAAAAAATTTATAAATTTTTTTGAAAATTTGTTAAAATTGTAATTATATATCTATTTTTTTAGATTGTTCATTTTTTTATGTATTTTTCAAAAAAAAATCTATCAATAAAATCAAATAGAAATTTCGTTGAAAAAAATTAAAATTAAAATGGTGGACCCCACTTGCAAATAATTACCAAAAAAATGTCTCAAAGTTATAATTTCTTTTTTGATAATTTCAAGTAAATTATTTGATAATAAAAATTAGCAATTACAAAAAAACAACCTTTTGACTGCGACCTTGAGTTATTGTGAGTAATTTGATAAATTTCTGACTCAGTTTAATTTTTTACTGGTTGTTTTATACATTGTTTTATAATAAATAATGTGCTAACTCATTACTATTTTTTTTTCTATGCTGAGTAGTAAAAAAAAAAAAACACGACCTAATGGATAAATATTTGAATCTTTTCGTAACAGATTCCGAATAAACGAAATAAATAATAATTTTTAAATGATATAATGAGAAACAAAACTTATTCATTTTTTCCTATTGTATAAAATAAAATAAAAAACGAACGGAAACGTTTTTCGGAACAAATTTGATATTAATTTTGTTAAAATTCTAGTAATTTAAATAGATAGGTAATAAAAATGTTATGACATTGCTTGGGACAAAAATATTTACAAAAAACAACCTTAGAACGGTAATAGTAGATATTAGCTGACTTAATGTTGTGACATTGACCTTCTAAATTCCATCGCACGTTATTGATTCCTTTATATAGTATAGATAGTAAAAATTAATCAATAAAATAATATCGGAATTAGATAATTTCCTACAGTGTCTTGGTCAAGCAAAAGTTCCAATTTTTTAGTCGGAAAACTTTTAAATAAAATTTTACATTTACTCGCGAAAAATTTTTATAAAAACATCCAGCTAAAAATTTTTCAAGAATTATGGAGATTTTATGACAAAAAAATCACGGAAGTCTTTAAGAATAAATAAAATATAAATTTAAATGAACAAATTGAAAAAATAATAATAAATTTCAATAACAATTCAATGTCAGCTCATTAAAATTCAACTGTATAACTAAATAAAAAAAAAGTATCTTATCATGACCTTAAAAATACTCCCGTGTACAATTTTAAACAATTTGAAATAAAATGAAGTTTCTAAAATAATAATTACTCAGCTACTTATTATCCACTTCACATAGCAATAAACTCGGCTTATACTTATGTTAACATTACTGTAGATAGTGCCGAATAAAAATTACCACTTTTTAAATCATTGCGTAACTGGTAGATAAATAAAATCGTGAACTAGATTTAAAGCCTTGGAATGGATAAAGAAAAATATTTTATAGCTAATAAACTTCCTTATTGTCAATCATGTACCACTTGATACGTGAATCATATAATTCAATATTATGTTATATTATATGTATATGATTGTACATACATTAGCTAAATTAGTTTAGCACAAAATAACTAAATTAGCTGGAATGTTATTGCGTCATTGCGCTCTCAATCACTCAATCAATTTAATAATTTAAGTGGAAATTAATTCTTTCCCTTTTCGTTTTTATAAATTAAGTGCTACGCAATCGTTTTACTACTCAACAGCCAGCGGATTAATAAAATTTAATTTAACAAAGTAAATATTTATGTATTCATTAATTTTATCATAAAAAAATAAATCGATTGTAATATCTTGTTAGTTTTGATAAATTGTATTAATTATATGGTTACTTATGTCTCACTATTATTTTTATTGGATTATGCCACAATTATTTTGTCTGACTATTTTTTTCTTTTAGGGAGATAATGTCCAGCTGCAGCGTCAAACTGTCTGATCGCTTGGTTAATCTCGTACATAGATATTTAAAATATCTAAAGAGCGGAGACCTTCATTCACACTTGATAGTTTAATTTAATGAAATAATCATGTAAATTATTATTATTTTTATCAAATTACGTAAGTTATTATTTTTTCACTGGCTCTGTGATCAAAGTGTTAATTAATTTTTTTTATAGACTATTTATCTTTCTTAAAAATAATTGATTAATTATGTAATAAAAAAATTAAACTCACTGTCTTCTTCTGTCAAGTCGGAGAACTTGACGCCGCCACTGAAATTCAAAAGATCAAAATATCATAATTTATGTTATTGTATATATTATTAAAAATTTTTTTTTCTTCAATAAAAAGTGAAATTTATATCTTTATATTTTTTTGAATTTAAAAAAAAATAAAAAAAAAAATCTAACATGCTTAAAGATTTATAATTTGAATGAAATTTTAAAATTTAGTTTTAAATTTGTCACAAATGTAAAAATTTAAACATCTGAATTATGTAAAACTTTCAGATGTAATTATTAATTGTAATTTGTCTGCATTGAAATTGTAGATACAATTATTTGTTAGTTTTAGCATACCTGAGCAGCACGGTCGCTGTCTCGGGGACACGGAACACCTGAAAAATAAGACAACCACCAACTCTATCGAATCCAAAACGAAGGAGAAAAAAACAACTCCAAAACAACTCCTTATTTTTTTTAATTTTAACTCTCCTTCATCAAATTTTTAAGAATTTGCAAGTAAATATTCCTCTAGCTCGTTTTCAATTTACTGGTAATTACTTAACAATCATTAAAAAAAAAAAAAAAAAAAAAAAAAAAAATAAATAATATTCGGTATTTAATAGTAATAATGGTAAATATTTACAAGTGGGGTCAACCATTTTAATTTTCATTTTTTTGAACGAAATTTCTACTTAATTTTATTGATATATATTTTTTTTTGAAAAATACAAAAAAATGAACAATTGAAAAAAAAAGTTTATTATCAAAATTTTAACAAATTTTCAAATAAAAATGTTGAAAATGTTAATTTTTCACCTAATAACCCGGAGGAATAAAATAAAAAGAAAACGAACTTGGAATTTTTTTTTTGAGTGTCAGGAAATTGAAAGTTACTATTAATATTGATAAATAATGAAAAAAATACTCTTTTTAGTAAATATAATGTATTTTTAATACACACCTTCCATCCCATGTTTTCAAAAAATGTACAAAGTCTTGCTTGTCCAGTGGTTTTGCCTCCGCATGGGCCTGAAAAATTAAAATTTATCATTTTTTAATTATATTATTTTATCAATAAACAATGAATAAAAATAAACAGAGTATCAGATTTTTAACAATCTTTCAAAATATGGTAATAAATTAATGCATTGAATAAAAAATTATTAACAATTTTACAGAAAATTTTAATTTAGTGATCTGAATTTTTTTTTTTTATATTTAATAATATGAATTGTACAATCAAAATTTCTAGGTAATTAAAAAAAAATCATCGAATTGATAAATTAATGGAAAATTTGTAATCTTGCAGTCATTCTTCCTATCGCGTGTACAACGAAAACCATATAATGACACATAATTGATATTGTTATTTGCTGTCGATCTATATCGTTAAAAAAATGATAAAAAATTCTTTTAAAGCTAAAAGCAAAAAAAAATTACTTTATACATTAAATTATTACTAAAACCATTCTCCGGTGTATTAACTTTTAAAAATATGTATCTTTCGATTTGCGTCATATTTTTAATTAGATAAACTTATTAATTTATTTAACAATTATAATAGATTATTCAAATAACGATAACGAACAACTGTTAACAAAATCCACGGACATTAAATACATCTGTTTTATCAGTAAGACTAATTACTTAAAAAATTTTGAATCCGATATTTTAATTAAAAATTTTTTTAGTTAACAGTCTACACCTATAAATATAATTGTAATTACATAGAATTATTGAGTAACTTGGTGATAAAAATGAATCAATGGGTAAGAATTTTCTAATGGAAAGTTTGAAAACGTTATCAAGCACACGTCTTTGGTATTGAAATTTTCCAACGAGTAGGTATGTGCTATCACGTTTTTTTCCTTTCATTACATAGATGTATTTTATATTTTTTTTTTTTCATTCTTTAACTTTATTTAGCATGCTAATGTAAAAGTATTGTCTGTTACTATTAATAGGATATAAAATGTGAGTTTACGAAACGACAATATCGTGCCAGGCAATTAGACTATAACTAACAATAAATCAATCGTCTTGTTGATAATTATTTATGAAATATATATTAATTAACATGAAAATCAATAACTAATATCTGTTAAATCTATGAATAGATTGTCTGAAACAAAAAAAAAAAAAAAAAAAAAAAATTATTAAATTAGTCAAAATAAAAAAATAATTGATGATGCAATAATTTATTTTTAACACGTGGTAGTAAAATTAATAATTGTAAACTTCTCTAAATAAATTAAAGTATGCAGACTTCACAGAATTCACGAATATTAAAAATTAAATCAATATAAAATTCTTGTCACCATTAGAGAATAAATACAATTGATCAAACAGGGTAGTAACGATAAATATAATAAAGGGTAGAAAAAAAAGCTTACCTCCGGTTAAGACGACCTTGTAGACTCTTTTTTGCTCCATTTTTATTTTTAAAATAAATAAATATTTGTTGGTTAAAAATTTAAATAAATAATAGTCACGATGTCACGTTGTCTTGTTCTGGTTGAAGTCAGGCTGATGGTGGGATTTATAAAAATAATTTTATTATTTTTTTTCCTCCAAGTCCCACGTTGTGATGGGCCAAGTTAAATTAGCACGATATCCGGTGGTGAGTAGTCTTATGAAAAAAAAATAATAAAATTCGGCAACGGTCTACGGTGTCTACGGTTTGAAATTATTACTACATCAACACCATGCCGAGCATGCCGAAACTCGAGTTTATTTTATACGTCCAAGACATCTGGGAGTTTGTACACACGTATCAGACGAACGTTCGTCAGATAATGAGGTTCCTTGTGGTAATAACAATTAACTTGGATTGGAGTCGCTTCTAAGTGAAACTGAATCTTTTTTCGTTTACTAGAGGGCTAGAGGGAAACGTTGCTGTGGTTAACAAAAGTGAAGTTAGCTGTTAAGACATTTTTAGGTAGTGGGGGGACGGATTTAAACGAACTACTTTCGCGCGTTACGGAGATTCACGAAGGGTTTATAAATGCTACGATTATTCCCGAGAGTGATTAGTACAATTGACAATTTATTTGGATAAAAAATTTATTAATGTTTAAAGAAAATTATGGTTATAAATAATAAATTATTATTATAATTATTAATTATTAATTATTAATAATAAATAAGCGAATGGTATAAATTTAAGTATCACTTGTTAATTGATATGTTATTGGTAAAAGATTGTAATTGTAATGGTTATTTATTGTCGAGGAAATGATGACGCTTAAAAAGATGAGATAAATATTATTCTTATTGTAATTGTTAGTAATATTTCAAGATATGTCGAGTATGTGTTAATTTTCCGTATTACGTTGACGATGTGTGGTTAATCGATAAGTCGATTGATTAATTTTGATGGTATACCCAGATCAATTAATTCTGTCTGGGACTTTTCTTTCAAGTCTTTGTTGTAAAATAATACAGCTTCCCAGGCTATTTCTGTTAACTTTGGAATTGTTACCCAGGTGGAGAATATTGTTGAATTTTCAACCTAGAACAGAGTAAAATATTAATTTTGTTAGTTAGATAATTGAATAATTTATTTTAAATTAATAAAACATATTCTGTAGATTCAATCGATTTTCATAATTCTTTTCTTTTTATGAAAAATGAAGTTAGCTGACATTTCAAAATTTTTAGAAATTTTTTAGAAATTTTTAGAAAAAATTTCAATTAAACAATTTAAAAAAAATATCACATGTTAAAAACTTGAAAAACTATAAGTGCAATTTTTTATAAATATCTTTTTAGTTGTAATTTAATTAAAAAAAAAAAATAATAAATTTTTAGACTTCTGCTAACTTCAGTGTCATTTTTTTTTTAAATACTTATTTTATTTATAATTATTTTTTAAATAATTATTTTATTTTAAAATACTTTTTTAGCATTTCATATTTTGTTATCTTAGGTTTTTCCTTTTTTCTCAAGCCAGACGTGCATAAATATAATCCAAAAGTAAACTTCGGGTCATTTAAATTTAATACTTCAAATGCCCTTTAAATTTTGTAGATAATGCGATTATTAGGTGCAAAAGTAAATCCTGTAATGTAATTCTAATGAGCCGCAGTCTAGATCCTTTTGTTGGCGGGTCATTTACAAAAAAGATAAAAGAAATGAAACAATAAAATAGTTGCAAAATCATCTTAGAAAATAAGCTTAGGTTAAAGTTTAAACAAATCAATCAATCAACATTTTAAAATAAGCTAAGTATTAAATAATTAATATTTAATAAACAATAAAAATAACAACGAAAGTAAACTAAATATTAAACAATGAACCACATCGTAAAAAAATGTACAAAGAAAAGTATATTTGATGGAGAGCTGTAAAGTTCAAATAAGTGCATAACATTTTGATTCAAATAAAACACAGTGTAACAAATAACAAATTCAATGTAAACAAAAGTTCAATTGATTAAACAAATTAAATTTTCAACCGAATAAAAATTAATAATAATTGACGCAAAAATCGTGACAAAAATAACTAATAAAAGTAACCACATGGGTTGATGAAGCAACTTCAGGTATTATCTATCTTTTGTAATTCTCCCATGTGAAGTTTGAATGTTAATTTACTATTGGATAAAATTTTTTAATACACTATTGAAGAATCCAGATTTAACATTTTGCAAAATATTTACTTGATATAATTTGATTTTTAATTTTTTGTAACCTTATTAAATAATTAAGGAGGAATAGCCATTGTAAAATTAAAAAAAAAAAATTTTTTTTGTCATTAAATCAAAGTTTTTATATTTAAGAATAGGTATCTAGAGTTTTATATGAAAATTTCAAATATTTTTCGAGTTAGAGTCATTTTTGTGGCAGTGCGTCAAATGACCGTTGCACGCGCGGTGCTCCGACAAAAACGCGTTTTTCTCGAAACTACTTTTTTCATTTGTAATTTGCATAAATATGAACCGATTTGCAACTTTTTTTTTCCGTATTCGTCTATTCAGTAGCTATAGTTGCACGTAAAGGATTTTGAAAATTTTGATTTTTAAGATTTTTAGAGCTGTTTGAATCCAAAAAAATGAGAAAAAAAAACGAAAAAAATTTTTAATGTCGCCATTTTTTTTTAAATCCAAATTTTCAAAATTCCTTACATGGAACGATAACCACATGTATACAAATTACAACGCAGTTTGGTTTTTTTGTTTTAGATAATCCATTTTTGAGTTAGAGATGAGACCGTGGTGGGGGAAATTTTTTTGGTGCTCCACAAAAATCCTTATAACTTTGTAACAACATGATATTTTTTAATAAAAATTTAGGAGAATGATCTTTAATGTATACTTTATAGCATGAAAAAACCAAATCCCCAAATTCTTTTATTATTCCAGTCAAAAAAATTCTCGAAAATCATGTATTTTTTCGATCCTAAGAGTGGCTATCCTCATTAAATATTGCTATCATAAAAAACAATAACAAAGTTTAAATAATTTTTCATTTTTAGATTAAAAATTTCCATTATCATTTGAAACTCAATAGACAATTTGACCTTCTTGATAATTGTAATTACTAAAGATTAATAAAAATCCATAACTAATACCAGGTTTAATTTCCTTTAAAGATAATATAAAATTCAGAATTTAAAGACCAAAACAATCGTATGTTTTTACTATTTATTGAACAAGGCTTAATGTTTCGTCAGCATTATTTTTAATATAAAAATAGAAGATCATAGACCATTAAATACACATTTAAAAGTCATCAATTAAAATAAATACATTAAATATAATTCAAATCGAAGGTCCTATTGTATCGATATCATTACCGCTAATTTTCGCTCAAAAAGTTTATTATTGAATAAGAAGTAAAAACATATTGTGTTTTGGTCTTTATATCCTGAATTTTATCATAAAAAATAATAAATTACCTCGCCTCTTTTTTCAACCACCCAACCATCAACTAAATACATTTTCCCAGCAGGTGTGATAGCCGCGACATGATTTCTCATACGATACGGTAGCACTCCAGCGAATTTGCTCACGCAAGTCCATTGTAACGTTCTTAGATTAAGCCTCCATATATCGTTGCATAGAAATTTATCAGTCTCACCGCCAGTTAAGATAACATTAATGTCACCTTTTTCATCTTTGTACTGAATGATACTATAATCGCCCCGGTCGAAAGGGATGCCTGGCTTACTTTCCAAGTCTCTGTGTACCTCCATATCGTCCCATTGTTTGGTTTCCAAGTCGAATGACAGAATTCTCTAAAAATAATTCAAAGCAACCATAATTAATTTTTAATTTAACAATCATAATTGGATTTAACCCTCAGAGTACACACCTCCGAACAGAACTTTAAAGTACACACGGGGTCAAATTGACCCCACTTGACTTTCGAAGAATTATATCTCAGAAACTATGTATTTTATCGGAATTCAGGTTATTACATTCTTGGTAGGTAAAATAATGTTGCGCGACTACCCAATTTTAAAACATAGTAACTGCAAAATTTTTATACCTGATTTTTTTTTAGTATTACTGTATTTCTTATAACTTTTAGATCTTAATTTCAAGTATTTTTTCTTAAAACTATTTATATTCAAGTATTTTCTATTCGTAAATCAAATTTTTTATCAATTTGGCGCGCAAACTTTTTTTTTAATAAGAAAAATTTTTTTAAATCTTAAAATTGTCAGTTACTGTGTTTTGAAACTGAGCAGCCGTGCTCTTTTGAATAAAATTATTATTATTCTGAATTAAATCGACGTTCTAATTAGCAAATTGTCTAACTCCATTTTAGAGAATCTTCTATTTGTACAAAAAAAACAATTAGTTCAAAATTTATTATCACTTTAAAAAACCATTTAATATCATTAATATCTAATAGAGATATAATATTTAGGTTTGAATTATTTAAATAATTTATAATTGGATTATTGCTACATCAAAATGTTAAAAAATCACCCTCTAAAAAATAAGGAGTTAGACAAATTGCTAATTAGACCGTCGAAATAGTTTTTAATGTTGAAAAAATTCATTAAAAACGAACCTATTTTCGAGAAATATTTTAGGATAAAAAAAATTCTGGGGTCAAAATAACCCCCAGTGTACTCCGAGGGTTATATAATTAAATAAAAAAATAAAAAAACAATAACGTACAGTTGGTTTCAGCGGCTCTCGTGACGACTCGTCATTATCAAGCACATAAATAATCTTTCCATCGAAAGCAAATATGTGACCGAATTCATCAGAGTCCCAATCATTCGGATCGCTGTCAGGGCACAAATAAAGATTCTTCCATTTTCCGCTTTTTATTTTCATCCTATGGACATTAAAGCTGTCTAAATAAACAGGCTTTCCTTTTTTCTTCTTATTTTTAACGATGCCTCTACTACCCAGTCCATATAAATACGTATCATCGTTAACAAATTTTTGATCATGATCCATCGCCGGTAATGAACGATTTATTCGTTCTATTTCAAGCTCATTTATTTTTAAATCCCAGTGCAATAAATAAAAATATGTTGGAGGTGTATCAACTTCACAACATATCAATATTTTGCCGTCCTCAAATACCGTTCCGATTTCAAATGAGTTATCTAAAAGCTGGCTCCGCGAGTCCCTTATTTGCTTCCATTTGTGTGTTAGCAAATTAAATTTCCATAGTTCGACGTACCAGTCACCGAGACCTTTATCATCTGGATCAACATTGTAAGTTGCATAACTATAGAGATACTTATCGTCGCAACATACTTTAGGATCTGTTTTTTTTCTTAGTAATTCTCTTCTCGTTACTCTGTGTTGATCAAACACAAACGGCTTGAATGAGTACATGGCCTGCAAAAAAGTATTATATTAGTAATTGATAAGTTAAATAATTCATATGTCAACAATGCATATAATTTTATGATACTGGAATTAAAAAAGATTTATCAATTTTTTGCATTTTTATAACCTCTAAATTAATATGAAAAAATTTTAATAAAAAAATTCCACTTTTAGAAATTAAAAAAATTTCTTTTTTTTTTATAATTAATTTTTAATAAAAATCATTGAAATATTGTCAGATGTCGCGGCTGATTTCAATATCATATAATTCTACTTAAATTCTGAACTTGAAAGAATTTCAATTTTATAAATTAGAAAATATTTATGAAAATAAAGTTAGCAGATATTTAATAATTTTTAGAATTTTTTTTTAACAAATAAATTATGGCAAAAAAAAAATATAAAAAAAATTGACATTTAGAAATTTTAAAAAATAAATAATGCAATTTTTTAAAAATAATTTTTTGTTAAAAGAAATTAAAAAATTCTCGAGCGACTGCTAACTTTAATGTCATAAAATATTTTTGAGAATAATTTCTCTAAAGTAAAACAATAAAATCTTTTTCTTAATTGGTTTATTTGTTCAAATAAAAACTTGCTGGTGTTGAGGTTATAATACATGTACCGTAAAACCATTTATTTATATATTTATTTTCTTAGAGTTTTATCTATTGAATGTTAACTCAAATATATAATAGTTGCATTTAAATTATAAAATTTTATCTTTAATTTGTTTAGTTTGTTAATTATCAACTTACCGGTGTATGTGCGTCAAATGACATGTCTACTGCTTATTCTTTTCAGGATAACAACAAAGGAAATCATTTTTGTAACAGCCAATGAAAATCAATAAAATTTAAATTTACACTTCCTGTGAAACGTCTCTTGTTTAGCTTGAGTTCTAAAATAAATAAATACATTTATCTTTAAAAAATATGAAAATTAATTTAGCAGATATTATATAATTTTAAGAATTTTTTTTAACAAGTAAATTATGTCAAAGAAAATAATAAGAAAAAAAAATTGACATTTAGGAAATTAAAAGAATTAATAATCTAATTTATTAGAAATAATTTTTCGGAGCAAATTTATTTATCAAAAAAAATTAATAAATTTTCAAGCGACTGCTAACATTAATGTCATTAAAAAAAACAATAATTAAATTATTAGACTGTTAATAATGTATTAAGTAATTAGTTATAAACATATATATTCTTTTTAATTTATAAATTTTAACTAGAAAAAAAGTAAGTATATTCTTATAAATTATTTTATTTCAAGATAAAAATAGTTAAAGTGAATTTATCTTATTAAAAAAATTTTTATGAATAAAAGTATGAACAATTAAATTTTAATAGATGTTAAAAAATTTACGAATTTTGAGAAAAATTTAATGTGTAATTTTTTATATGAAAATGAAGTTAGCCGACATTTCAAAATTTTTAGAAATTTTGTATTAAAAAAATTTCAATTAAAAAACTTAAAAAATTACAAGTGCAATTTTTTAGAAAAATGTTTTTAGTTTTAATTTAATTAATAAAAAAAAAAATCAAAAATTTTTAAACTTCTGCTAACTTCAGTGTCATTTTTTTATTATATAAGCCATCAATTTCAAAATACATTCGTTGTAATCACAATATCTTTGGCGATGAAAATTCAGTATTTCATACTACATTTGCTAAAATTTATTAAAAAAGTACATCACTACAGTATAAATATATGTATCATAAATTGCACAAAGTATCTTGGTTCTGGCATATGTGATCCATAGACAAAAATAATCTTGAAAAAAAAAATTAACATTTTCACTAAAATATTTTTTTT